TTAAAAAAATGTTATTTTACTGAAAAAAATCAAATTAACGACTCTCAATTGTTTTTTTTTATTTCTCATTTTTACCAGCGTTAAAAATGCTACTAGTTTGCTAATTCAAACAACTTTGTATTTTCACTAATAACAAAGTTACTAATGGTGGACACTTAATTTGGATAACCCTGTATAAAGAAAATAGTAAATAATAAAGACCACACCAAACAAATCTTCACACGTACTAGATGTACAACACCCAATATCAATGAATCTTGAAGTGCGACTTTCTTTCCGTTGCCCGTTGTCCTTTATGTAAAAACAGATTTTCAGTAAAAAACCAAGCAAACAATGTAAATTTAATAAATAATACCTGTCATCAATAGAACATATTCGATCCAATATACATGTAGTAAAAGCCTTTCTTCTTTAACGCCGAAAGAAACTACCAACCTCTCTCGCTCCATTAGTCTGACAAAACATAACAGAAACTACGAGTTTCCTTTTGTACCACAACGAAAATCGAATTTGTCTGACCGGGACCACCCAGACTTACCTTAAATACCTTCGGGTCATTAATTTATTTAATTCAATCATGTTTGGCGATGTTTCTCTACGTAGATGGAAACGGACCAAATGTCTTACATGCATGTACCATCTGTTTTGTGTTCTGGTTGAGGAAAGCGACTTACATTGGGTCATTTAGGATGCCGAGGAACGCGAGCAAGCTTTTGGTAATTTGACAACAGAACAGACAATTCTAGGCTAATAGATTGCCCACGTCTTTTACTCACTATTGATTTATTATAATTTTTCTATCATTTATAAATAAATATTTTTTACACAGTGCCGCTTAGACACGTGCCTATACAGGGTGATTCACGAGTCGTGACCAAAATTGAAACACCATACACATTGCCGCATTTCAAGGGGGTCTTCTATGTAACATTTACGTCGAGGGCTTCTTTAAAAAGAATGCACTCTAGGAAAAAAACACAAGAGTAATTATTTGTAGCAAATTGAAAGTAAAATTCTAAAAATTGCGCGTTTCGAAAAGAAACAGTGACGTACTAATTTTATTTGGAAAGAGAATGCCACAAATCTCCTGTATCTCCGCCACTGAAGCACGTTATATTTAAGTAAAGAGTTTTGAATCCGGACGGTTTTGAAGTTATTAAAAAAATGTTTTTTTTTTTATTTTTAAACTTTTTAAGAACATTGGCAATTTTGAGAAATTGTAAAATTTAAAAATGGAGTAATCCGAAACATTTGAGCGTGTTCAAAGCTTCTAGAGTCCCGGTAATTTGAAAAATTTGGAGTTCTCCGAAAATCCTGGAAATTTCAATAACTTTGAAAATTGCTGAAACTTGCTGCGAAAATCTGCATTCGTAGAGGAAAGTCTCCATCAAGAAGCACTGTATACTCGTACTTGTTGATTATATTAGAAAATCGCACCAGTCTGCAAGAATGATGTGCAAAAAGCAATAGCAATAATAGGCACCGGAACATCACAATTTGAATGTAATTATACAGAGCCTACAAATCCGTGACAGTTATGGGAGATTGAAATTTTTCTAGTACGATCTGATAAAAGCATTTAAAGTGTTCATTTAGTAGAGATCTCTGAGATAAGACCTATAATGGTGACAAATTGTTAGGTGAAGTGTATAGAGTGTGTGATATTTGCAATTTAAAATTACTCCAACTTGTAATTTTTTGCTTGCATTGAGATTGCTACAGTAGATAACTGTTGGATATGGCGTTGTTGTGTTACGGGACATTAATGTTGTATGTCTTGACTTCGAATACCTCTGTAGAATTATTACTATTCATGGGAACATCATAAAGGCAAAAACAAGGCTACTCCAAGCAGTTTGTCAAATCGCTAACATATTAGGCCTACTTCAAGGCAAGGCTTAAGTACCACAAAACCACGACCGCTCTGAAGATATTAATACAAATTTGAACTAACGGAAGGTTGTTAGGTCTTAAACAAAGAAGCCGCAGAACAGACATGGGTGTAAACGGTATGATAGTCATTATTTTAATGGGTGATAGAGAGGGTTTTTAGAGAAAAGCGACTTTAAAGTAAAATAAATCTGACAACGTCACAAAACTATGCAAAAGGACTAACCACTGTTACCGTTTGCGATCGATTGGCCGTTCAATATGAGTGATGATAACCGACGCGATGTTGTCAAGTGTGTTTTAAATATACAATTTAATGAAACTTACTTTCTTACTGACTACAAATTTTGGCTTAACTTAGTAAAGCTTAATGCTATTTATTTGTTAATTACCCAATTTAAAAACGTTCTAGATTAGATTACAAAACTTATTAAGATTGTGGTGATTGTGGTCGACATAAAACACGTGAAGTTATAAACTATAATAAAGCCATTTAGACAAAAATCTATTGACTTTTGGACCATGGGTCATATCAACTTTTTGGCTCTTTTTGACCCCCCCTATTACCCATTTCAATAATGACTAGCATAATGTTTACACCCTGTATAACTGCTACAGATTTGTCGAATTCCGAGAACTTTTGTTTATGCTTTAAGTGTCTGAGGTATATAAATTTTGAGGGTGGAGCTGTGTGTGTGGAATTCTTCAAATCCGAAAATCTAGGCATTCTAATCTCATAATTTTGAATGGGTACTTAAAATGTCCACTAATATTTCTTTTATGCTTGAATCAGACTCACTTTATTCCCTATTATGTAAAATCTAAACCCACAAGGCTGTCTGGTAACCTTGCCATTTGAGTTATGATCCCCACAAAACGGTTATTATTGCTCATACACTATGACAACTCGTGTCCATTTTTACACGTTTGATTGATTTTATCTATCGTAATGTATATAATTACAACAAAATCTACGAGAGAAAAAGCAGAGCAAAACCCTGAAAATTCAATTGTTGTTTGCTAAACGTAATATATCAATCTACACCGAACAGGGGCGTAACATACTGGCAGTAAGAAGGACTCGAAGTCACCACTGCCCGATGTACTTGTGCACTGCACTGATGGAATCAATGGCAATATACAAAGTGGAAGCACTCGAGCTTCTTTTTTCATGACAATCTATTATTCAACTTGGCATACGTATTTAGTATGTGTGTGTAGCACATACCTTAAAGCTGAATTTTTAACCAGTTAACCTTTATCAATTGAGCTGAAATTTTGTACACAAGTTCGGTTTGCGTGGCAATACAAAATTGAATTGAATTGATTACCGTCATTTTGAATCCAGAACGACAGATGCTACAAAATGCTACAAAATATCGACATTCCTATAATAACCCCTACGAGTATATGCTGTATGGATATCAAATGACAGGGCTTGATGGAAAAAACAATAAGTCGAGTGACGTCATTCTAAATCCAATATGGCGGCCGCCGCTAAATGGAATTTTTAATTTCTATAGCCACCGCGGTAATAAAATAAGGAATACATTTTTGAAAACAAGAAAATATAAAAAAGACATTTTTCAAAGCAAGGCTGAACTTGGTTGCTAATACTCAAATAAAAGCATGATACGTTTTGACAGAAGGATCGAAAATGGTGTAACACGTTTTTTTCTTCATTATTGCTTGAACATTTACAAATATGTTTAAATTTTTAGTTTCAGAAAATTCTAGAATAAAAAATAACATTAGAAGTTAGTAAACTCGGAACATTATTTCTGTACGCTTAAGCCGAATTAGAAGTCTTTGACCCCGTTATAACTCGGCGAATGCTGATGGTATTTTGATGGAGTTTACTCAAAGGGAAGTACCAAGAAGCTTCAGAGGCTTTCTAGAAGCTGAGCTAGGAGCAAGAAACTAAAACGCTTTACAACTTCCTCGACGCTTTTCGAGTGTCTTGTAATATTTCGGTGTTGTCAAAAAATTTGTTGGTGCGGTCAAATTCACTGAGAGTTCTAAGCTTCCGTTTTCCGACGAGTCTTAGGCTATTTTGGAGCTCAGTAACTTTTCTCACGAGGCTCGAAAACTCACACAACGCCTAACGTATTCTACCAGAAGCTACCCAACTGCATATTTTGGCATCCAAAAAGAGATTTGGAAGATACTAGCGACATTTATCAGACAGTAGCAGAACACAAACATGAGTATAGAAATCTACTCTGAAAAGAGCTAGAATATCTGGTTCAATCAATGTTGAAGATACCCAATTGCAATAGACATGAGATATGTTAAAAGTAGGGTGGAATTGCAAGCAGCATCTGTTAGACAGTAGCAGAACCAAATATTTGAACCCTTTTCAAAGTGCACATCTGAATTAATTACTGTGCTCTGCCGCTGTTTTAAAGAGGGAGCAAGTATCTTTCAGAGCTCTCTTTGGTGGCGGATTACAGTTGGGTATCTTTAGGTAGAATGCGTCAATCAATGCTTATAAGCAATGGCGAATTCTTTTCTACCTAAAATGATAATGGTTCAATATCAAGAAAATTCCGTGCTGAACGAGCCTTCCTCGCACCTTTTTTTCTTACACATGCACCTCTAGGTTTCCTTATGATAGTGGCACCACTGTTCGCAGCACCACTGTGGGAACAGAACAAAACATGTGCATAATATGATAATTGTAGATCGTTATGGGCGTGTCTCAGCTGTAGGCGGTTATAAAACGGCAATAAAAACTATCTATATTTCACTATTTTTATGAGTGTGCTGTTGTCTTTGCACAGTACGGCCGCCAAATTGCTTTAGTAGGTCAAAAGGTGTCATACTCGTGTTGTAAAAATGACATTTGTAATCTGTTCACAAAGCTCATTTATGATCATGTATTGGTAGGAGCAGCGGTTAATGGTAGTAATACGAATGGGATAGAATTTCTTCGATGAGCGGGTCCGCGGCAGACAATGATACTGTGTTTGTGTCCACGAAACGGTGTGGTGCTAAGAGCTTACCTAAGCGCCACCAGATGGGCTACTAAGTGAGCTTTAGAGAACAAAGGAAAGATGGCGTGGGTAGGATTAAATTTGCCTCTAACAGTAGATCCTATAAGTTGGTTAGGAGCTGTGGACTAATTGGTTAGGCTGTCTGCCTTGGAATGAAGAAGATGCGAGTTCACATCCCGCCAGCGGCCATTTTACCTATCTGTCAGATTTCTCTTAAAAAATTAATATAACGACCCTTCGTGAGGGGTCATTTAATAACGTATTCTACCACGATACATAATCTAGAGCTACATCCCTGCGTTCAGAAAGTTATCCAAAATGGGTTACGAGTATATAGCACAATCTATTTGACACTAAACTTTTCAAGTTATACAGGGTGTTTCAGTTTATTGTTGCATAACTTTAAGATTCGATAGAGCTTTTAAAATTAATGCATAAAGTCTATATAAACATGGGTCGGAAAATGCGTGGCTTCCGAAATACAGGGTGTATAGATTTACTTTTTAAAATAGTTTTTTTAAAATATTTCGAACAATATTTGAGGTATAAACGAACCATGGGCATAGTTTTACTGTAGCCGCTAGAGGGCGCTCTCTACTGTACCTGTAGTGTATTAAAATGACCGAAAATTTTTTGTTAGTGCAATTTTTTGCTCTTTAAATAAAAAAACTGATTCTTCGCACTTTTCTGCATAAAAAAGCTCTCATGTGAGTTTTCGTTATAGTTAGCCGTTTTTGAGATGTTTCGATTTTTAAGGTTCGATGCATTTTTAATTATTTATGGGAAAATAATATTTTTTTTTACATTTTCGATTTGGGTATTAGAAGTAATTAAGATGATCGTTTAGATTGTGTGTTTAAACACAGCAATAATTCCTAACTCCAAATAAACACAAAAAAACAGAAAATTAATTTGTTTAATTTTCCGATCTTATTTTTAACAAATTAAATTAATTATTTACAACTAAAATCCTGTTGGATAGTCAGGAGAAACATACAAAATCTAAAGTAGTTGCTCGAAATGTAAACCCAATTGTTCAATACACAATTCACATCTACGAATGATCGAACGTGGTATAGCATTATTCAAATAAGGCCTTATTCCATCACATGCATTCCTGATTCTGTCTATTAGCATATCTCTTGAGGTTACGGGAGTCTGGTACACTTTTTCTTTTAGAAATCCCCACACAAAGAAATCTAATGGATTAAGGTCAGGTGATCGTGGAGGCCAGGCGACTGGTCCTCCACGGCCGATCCAACTTTCTGGATAATTTTCGTCAAGCCAGTTTCTAACTATTCTCGAATAATGAGCTGGACAACCATCAAGCTGGAACCAGGCCAATCTTCTTAAATCTAACATAACATCATTCCACATATTTGCATGTTCAGCCTTTAAAAATTCCAAGAAGGTCGCAGCATTTAACCTTGCAGGGAAAAGGTAGGGTCCAAATAGTCGATTACGGTAGATACCAATCAACACGTTCATACTAAATTCATGCTGAACATTTCTTTCCCGAACTGCTTGCGGATTTTCACGCGACCAAATATGTTGATTATGAAAATTAACCACTCTACGTCTTCCCAAGGCACCAGAAACTCTCCTATCACTTGTGGTCGGATCTCTATCAAACTCACGCAGAATCATACGGGTAAATCTGCGCTGACGAACATTTATGTTTTGATCCCTTTGGAGATTTCCAAAACCATTTTCAATTATTTGGCGATGCACTCTTACAAATACTGAGCGAGTTGGATGTCGTCTGTTTGGAAATCTTGGTGCGTATTCTCTGGCTGCTTCTGCTACGTTTCCATTTACAAAGCCATACACAGAATGAATATCCGCTAACTCTTGATTGGAGAATAAAAATGGCATTTTTATAAAACTTACAAAAAAAAAAACAGGCAAAAGAAACTAAATTTCGTGCATTCACAATTGCAAAAAAACGTTTCAGGTTTCAACAGACAACAAAACTAATGTCGACTAATTGACATTTAAAACTTCTAAAAATTATCGAGATACTGACTTTTTAACGTTATTTTATCATAAATAATTAAAAATGCATCGAACCTTAAAAATCGAAATATCTCAAAAACGGCTAACTATAACGAAAATTCACAAGAGAGCTTTTTTATATTGAAAAGTGCGAAGGATCAGTTTTTTATTCAAAAAGCAAAAAATTGCACTAAGAAATTTTTTTCGGTCATTTTAATACACTACAGGTACAGTAGAGAGCGCCCTCTAGCGGCTACAGTAAAACTATGCCCATGGTTTGTTTTGTCGTGCCAAAAAACTCTTATATACCAATTTTCACTGTTATACATCAGATATTGTTCGAAATAGTTAAAAAAAACTATTTTAGAAAGTAAATTTAAACACCCTGTATTTCGGAAGCTGTTTATATAGACTTTATGCATTAATTTTAAAAGTTCTATCGAATCTTAAAGTTATGCAACAATAAACTGAAACACTCTGTATGTAGTGAATAGAGTAACAGACGTGACTAGTTCTTAGAGATGACGCTACGATATCTCATTTTATCTCGAATAATTTTTTGAACTCGAGAATATAACATCAGATCGGCAGAGTGGTGGGGAATAACTTATTTTATACGAGAACTGATCAACGTTTCTTTCAGTATGCCTGAAATCCTGTATGGTAAGTTTATCTCGAGAAAACAGTTGAAAAAGCTGATATTTCGAAGGTCGTGGACCTTCGTATAGGACATGCGATCTCTCCGTATAGAGTTTCAAGAGAAAAAACCGCGCATCGGTACACAACGGAATAATTAGGGCGAACTGAATTTTTTCAAAGGTAACGTGAACCTGGCGTCAGATTTCTCTTTGTAACCGATCCAGTCTGCACGAGACGTTTGAATTCACGGAAAAACTCACCTTGTTAGGTAAAAGAAAAATCATTATGAAAAAGGTCAACCAAAGAAAAGGAGACAGTTATTTGTTACTATATTTAACTTCGTCATCATTTAAAACTATATAATAGGGCTATAACGAATATCGTGGATACGAATGCGATCGCGAATGTTCAAATTTTCTCCCCTATACGCTTCTTCAGGACATACTTGAAGGAGAGAAGACCGCGAGAGGTTTGATAGTTTGATACTCCTCTAGTTCAGCTTGACCTCTAAATTTCTGTTCAAAATGATAAAGAAACAAATAAGCATCTAGAATGTAAAAAGGAAATTTATTTTCCCCAAAAAATTTGAGAAGAAAAGAATTGTCGTTTCGATTTGCAGTTTTATTAGTTAAACATTCACAATCATAGACTGAAAAAAGTGAAAAAGGATAATATGTGTATTTGTTCGTTCGAAGGTATTATTCCATAGTTACAGCCGTATTTGTGTTACACACAATGTCACTTTAGTTTGATCGATTCATTATACGTCTGTTTTACATAACTTCCGTTTAACTAGCCGAATTGAAATTGTGGGAATTTGAACTTTGCTTTCAATTCAAATATTTTGTAGCTCTATGATTAATTAGAAACATTTGTTTTTGGGTTATGTTCTGACCAAGATTAGCTCAGCAGGCTTTTAATATTTTCAAAAAGTGGCACACACAAAACATAACGAAGTTGCCTACCTGGCAATTTTATACAAAATCCGTATATTGATAGTTCATGATGTAGTGATCAAATGTTCTAGTGACGCAAAGCTCAGAAATGCTTTCTATTGGAGCTATAGGGTATTAAAGTTTGGTTTCTTAGCCTCTGCAGGTACGCCTGCCTGCACTATTATAAGAAAAGTAACTCGTCTATAGTATACTCAGGTGAGTCAACGATATACAGGTAAAAGAAATCACATGTGAACACATACAATATATACCCAACTTGCAATATACACCCAACGAAAATCACAAGTAATTCAATAGGGAAGATATATAAGATATTCGAAAACTGTTGTTGTGGCAAGATTGACATGTTATAGGTATGATCTCTTAATTATTCGGAGATATTGCATAATTCCGTGGTACAGCAAACATGTTTTTTTTAATGAAGCGTCTCATATTTTGTTGGATTTTGGAAAGACCTTTCGACCACAAGAGGATTGATATTTGTATATCCTGTAGGACTTTGACTGTCATTTGTTTAATTATTTTATCATTTGTCCAAGGCTTCAATCATTTTGCGTTATTGATTGCATTCTGGAAAACGCAAAATGTTCTTTTACCGCATACAATCTGATTCCTGTTTTTATGAGTTTCTTCTGATATTAGATTTAGGGCCAATTTCACCAACAACAGTCCGTTATTCTCCACCTATAGGGTAACAGACCGTTAGATACAGCGAATGAGCTTCAAGTTCCAATCAACAAATTTTAGCAACCAATAGCTATGAAATGCTGAAAACAAAATACTGTCAAAGTATGAGACGACAACTTGTCATTGAAACATCACCAGCTTATTGAATATTAAGAAATTACATATAATTCAGTCAACATTTTAAGAAATGTTTGATTTTTGAATTAAATTCATGTTTTAATTACTATTGTTGATTCTTTATTCATGTTCACATTATTTTTTTCAATTGATATGAGGTACTGGGTGTTTTTTCCTATAAACCTCTTGCAGATAGCCATTAAGCACCTACTTAATGACAGGCTCTACCAAAAGATATTGCTCGTTTCCAAACATTCATTCATTTACTTGCTGTTCATCAGAACCATTATGGCACCTTAGACTGATATTCCCACAAAACCATTCAGGTTTTTTGATATCCATACATCCATAAAGTTGAATATTTTTCATCGTTCAGGAACTCAACAAAAATCCACACTATATTCACAGCGATTAAGAAATTCCCAAATATATGCCTTAAAGCTACCAGCAAACCTAATACCTGCAAAAAAGACTACAAATTTCCCATATTTTCCGTTTTCCACGAGTACACATTCTAGGTTATATTTATATTAGACATTATTTGAATACAGCTGATTATTGCATTTCAAGGAGTGACACATGTGTGGGATCTGCCAACTCTTTGTACAAGTCACAAAACATATACTCTGAAGGTATAATTCCATGCTGTTCAATGACAACACGGTGACTTGTGTGGTTGTTAGCGGCAATTTTGTGAGGGTGCGACAGGGTTGCCAGATTGTGCATTAATATCTCGCTTCACCCTCCTGGTCCCAGTGGAGTAAGTTCCTGCAACTGTTGAAATATACTCTACTATGCTTTATATTATAATCATTGCACAACACTTGAAAAAATGCAAATGAAAATTTAAAGTTATTTCCATGACGCCGCAAAATAGCTCCGTCGGTACCTTGGGTTAATACATCTTGACAGTAGGGATGTTCGATACGATCCTATATATAGATGTATCAATACATTTCACGAGTATCGTCATCTTTCGATCCGGACTGTGTCAGAAAGAGTGACTGCCATTTGGCTGCGACATTACCCTGCCAAATCAGACATATCTTTCATCATTTTCAAAGAAATTGTACAAAATCTTCAAGTTTGTGAACCTAGCGAGTTTCACTTCATACGTTGTTACCAGACATGCCCAAATCATCAGTTGCTGCCGTGATATTCATCCCGACCACTGCATCCCTACGGCTAGGCGACCTGTGTGTTAAATTTGTATTGATAGGGCAGCGGGTCATTCTATAAATCATATGTCACAGTATTTCTACACTGATTGCAACAGTTAGATGATACCAAAAATATTTTCATAAATAGGAGATCCTTCCCATTCCGGATCGAACAATCTACCAAAGATGCTTATAATCATGATACCTAGTAAATTTTCACGAAAAAAATTCAAAACCAGCAAATGTAAAAGATTCATTTCGCACCCTCTACCATGGGACGTGATCGTCGTTAGACTTGGCAACCCTGCGAGTGACAGATAGTTATCCACGCTAGTCAAAAAGACAAAAATTACTAGTTTTTATGATTTTTGGACTTAAAAGACATTATTTGTGGAACATTTTTCATCATTTTTTGTCTATGTCCATAGTAATTGCATTATGCATCAGGGAGATGTACGGATTGACATGTCTTACACATATTATCTGTGTTTTAGGATGGAGAGGACATAATGGTTTTATTGCTTTGAAGAAATTCATTAACCCATAAATTAATAAATGATTACTATTATGACGTAAAGGAAGATGAGGAATTGGATGGAATGTATTTTATATTCTATTTTCTTGCAAAATACAGACAAATCCACACTATTCAACAGGTATGTAATGATAACTTTCAGTATATTAAAGTTGGCAAATTCGAGAGTGCCATGCACTAACAAACGTCCAAATCTGCTGCCAAATTTAACAGGTAGAAAATCGACCTATTATTTGCCGCATTCCCGGCAGCTGAGGGGGATAACGGATTGTTAAATGTAAACCTATAACATATAACAAAATACATGAAAGTTGTCCTGTTTTTTCTGTACAAAAGCATCATGTTGGAATCAAAAAGTGGTCTTGTTTATAATACATCAGAACTTTCAATTGAAATCACTAATATTCAGAGACCTTTGACAGCTTCTGTCAAATTGCATTTCGAGAAGGTATTTTCCCATTGGTCCATAATATTAATGTTGGAGAAATCGGCCCTTATAATAGTTAATTAAAACGGTTATCAGATTACATATAAAAATTCTAGAAAATCTAATAATCGCCTATGTACTTCGCCAGCATATTGTATTATCCAGGGAAATAATAACTTCTTCCCAGAGTGTTGTCTTCGGGCGTGGATACTACATTACATTAATATTTGATTTGTACTTGGGAAAGTCGCTTTACTTATTTTTTCTTCATTCATCAGGTACTTCATATTATTTTAGGTGTTGTACAAGGCGACACTACTGGACGGTTTTTTTAGTTGATACACTCGAATAATTTATTTCAGTAATTATGTAAATGAAGACTCAATCACAACTTTTATATCGGGCCAAAAAAGCATTTAGCTCGTTTTTTACTTTGAATATTATTTGATTTCCATGTATAGTTAGCTAATTATTTAATTTAGATAATTAAGTTGGGCAGAATTTAGGTGTCCCAGAGGAAGCGACTACGTTTTAGTTAAGGAAACTGGGCCATGGTTCTTTGAGTAAATTTTTGATGTACCGATTAGATATTTATGGCTACTGCCCTGGCCTAAGCACAGAACTGTAGCAAGGAATTATTGTTTGCATTGATGATACGGTGTGGTCGCTGAATAGATAATTATATTGTTTTCTAGAATTTTTAGGAATAAACAGACAGCGGTTTTAATAAACTAATAGGATTAAGTGGTGCAAAAATGAGACAGCCGAAATTTTGGTCATAAACAAGACATTCAATTTTTCCCAATGCAAAAAACAATAACATTGTAAAAACTACGTTACAAATTACTTCCACATACATACAATTGAAATATGTAATGAATAATAAATAAACGTAAGCACAAACATCGAGAAAAAAACTATCGCATCTGATTGTTCATTTTGCTTGAAAAATCTTTTAAATTGTATTTACAAACTTTTCCTGTTGCGCCGCTGTACGTGATCGAAGAGACTCGGCAAGTATCGCGTTTTCAAAATAACAAATGCGGCTATGATATTCCATATAGAATTTAGTCTATTTTTATTTGTTGGCAAGCACGCACGTCGTGAATAACAGGTGCAAAAACGAGACACCACAAAGTTTAAAAACAAGACACCTGCCAGTTAAAGAACAAGACAGCTTTTATACCTTTGATAATAATGTCGCAGGTTTAAGTTCCCAAAAAGCGCCCCTACGACAAAAAGAACATGGAAACAGCCCTAAAAGTAATAGATAATGGCACTTTATCTCTTAGAAATGCAGCTAAACACTTGGTAAACACGGAAGAAAAACTTCTCTAACCAAGAAAATGGAGGTAGACTTGAGTGATAAGATAAAAATTATGGCAAAATGGGGGTTTGTTCTCACTAAACCAGAGATACAAGCAATAGCTCAAACCTATGTACAAGAAAACCACCTTACTACCCAGTTTAAGGAAGGAAAGCCCGGGAAAGAATGGTTTAAAAATTTTTGTAAGCGCAACAGGCTAAGTCCAAAAAACGCAAAAAACGCAAGTTTACTACGTGGCACAAATCCTTAAAGTTTTTGGGAGCGATGTAGAAGTAAAATATCTGAGGCGCAAAGGATTTAAATTTATTTTTCCGGCCATTGAGGAAAAGTACTTCATC